AGCCGCTGCCAGGAACCCAATTCCCGCCACTATTCCCATGGAAATAGCCCTGTCTCTACGATACGATGGAACTTCTAGACTAACGCGCTCGCTCGTTGCTACGTCGTCCGCAATTGACATTGCGGCTACTTCGAACGTGTAGTAACTCTCCTCTTCCAGCGTTTTAACTGCAAACATGTTAAAAATTCTCCTTTAGTACGAATACCGTCGATTCTTCTTCTTTCGACGTGATTTCATATACTTAGGTAGTAAGTGTCGGTCGTTTCCGCTCTGCCGTATAATTGCTCGGACGGTCCTCTGAACCATCGAACCGTATACAGTCTGACTTGCTCTTTTCCGTAAGCGGGAGACTCCCAGGTAACCAGGTAACCCTGCACCGTGGCCTGAACTCTCACGTTTATCGGCGGCCCCATTCTGTCGTCTTCCGGGTCAGAAATACTCTGGTAAAGTCCCGGAAAATCTCACGAACGAACGATCGAGTGAACGAAAGAACGCTTACCTGGAGGACTGCGATACTCGGACGCAGAGTTCTCGTCGAAGGAAGCTGAAATTTACGTTACTCTCGTCATTCTCGAGATTTCGGAACGCTAACGTTGTTCTCGAAACGAAACTTACTAGGTTGCGTGAAAACGCGTAGAGTTTTGCTGAACATCCCGTCCCCGTGTTTATCTTGACTGAGCACCATGAACTCGTATTCTCGTCCTGGATTCAAATTGTTCACAGTTGCTTCGGTGATCTTTCTAGACAAGATCTTCATCGTTCTCCATTCTGTGGTGTCCGTTGGTCTGTACCTAACGTTCGATTAAAGTCGTTGCGGTGATCGAGTAAATTTAAGGTAGGTATTTCGAGAATTTCATTTACCAGACGGAATACTCCATTTTCGGTCTCACGTAACCGGGCACCCATGTCAGGGTAACCGCGTTATTGCTGCTGAGGGCGGACAGGTTGTACGGTGCCCTCGGAGGAACGTTCAGAACCATTAATTCCGTATCCGCGACCACCGTAGCGGCCTCGTTACTAGCCGCACACTGGTACAGTCCTCTGTCCTGCTCTTGGATCCTGTCGATCGTTAGGTTGCCACCGATGACGAGGGTCCTGTTGTCCGGCGGCACCGGTGAACCGTCCTGCAGAACCGTTCAACTTGTCGAACATTATTTCCAAGAATTTTCAATAATTCTCACCTTGTACCAAACGATCGACGGCCGATGAGACTGATCTCCGTCTCTAGCGTCGCAAGGTATCTCCAAGTTCTCTCCCAATTTCCTTATGTACAAGTGCTGCGGGGTTACCGTAAACATCGGCGGCCTCTGCACGATCTGTCGAACAATATTCCCGTATCGGCGAGGAGAAGAAAATCGAGGGAGAGATATAAGAATTAGTCCATCTGAAGGTTGGCAATTGGAAAATAAAGAGGCGATTAACACTCGTCTAGCGGAGTGGTCAACGCTCTCTCGGTGTCGATGAATTCCAGATTGAGATTGCTTTCAATTGCAACGGCGAAAGAAAGGCTTGTTGTATTTACCACGGTGATCGACGGACTGGGTCCCTCGGTGCCCAGCTCGTTGTACGGTGTGCAAGTGTAGCTTCCAGAATGCGTCTCGTCCACTTTGCTGAAGTAGAGGGAACCGTTTCGCCGGTAGAAGACACCCTGAACGTTGTACGGGTCGAAGAGAAATCCGTCCTTCTCCCAACGCAGGTTCGTCAGCGGTGGATTCGCCCTGAAGTGACAGTCGAGAAGGGCTGGTTTCCCGTAGGGAAGGTAGACTTCGCGGGGAGCGTAGATAACCTTCGCCTTATCTAAACAGTCACATCGCGACGCTTTTGTCAGATCGAGTTTGGTCGCAAGTACGGCGACGGTCCAAATTTAGCAGGCACACGCATTGGCTCGTTAAACTTTCGCCTGCAGCGATTTTGATTAGCGTCGTTATCATCGGTGATTCTACTCGGTAATTCCCATTATTACGCTGCTCTTATTATTTCATTTCCTGGACGAAAGTGTGCGATCATGGCCTCGTGCGCTATTCCACCCTCCTCGCAGAGCTACCCACGCTGTACTTGCATTGCACGTTGAGAAAGGCCGAAGCACTCTGCTGGTCACCAGTCTCGCCGGTCACCACGCAGGTGTACTCCCCGAGATCACCCATGGCAGCTGAATTGATGGTCAACGTTCCATCCTCGGCGATACCCGCTCTCCTCTTCAGGTCCTGTTACGAATTTATCAGCTGCTGTAATTCTGAAACGCTGAGAAACTCGGCCTCGAAGAGAAATAAGGAGAAACGGTGTACCTCCATGTCGACGATTTCCTCGCCCTCGCGGAACCAGCTCACTACGGACTTTTCTCCCTTGGCGACGCAATCGAAACTCACAGACTCGGCCTCCATTACAGTCTTGTTGACGGGCGGGACCGCCAGTAGATTCTCGCCTGGAACAGACGTCGGAAACGGCGACGCACCTGGGTTGAACGATTTAACGAGTCTGCCCAGTGTTAGGTTAGTGCAAGCATCAGCGATATTACATACATAGGTGTATATCTTTCTCTTATTATTTTCTTTAGTCTGCTTGCGTGTTGCGTGATTAATCGTTGAGTCAGTTAATTCGCATTTAGTCGCGCAATGGTTGCAAACGCGTTAATCGATCGGGTGCACGTTCGTGTCGGTTAATCGGCGCGCTTGCCACCGCAAAGTGTTATTTGCGAATCCTCCTTCCTGTCAGGAAGAGGAGTGCCTGTTCGATTTTATTTCTCGTACCAGTTTCGCGATCGATATATGTGTACTACCGCGTTCAATTGTTGCCCGCGATGACTCAATTTCCCATTAACGTTCAACAGAATTTCAGCAGTAAAAACCAGAATTCCGACTGTGTTAACGAGTGAATCATCCACTCTAATCTCGCGGTTACGAATAGGGAGCTCGGTGGCTATCAATTATTATCGACGTTTACGCGTTATTCGACGTTATTGTTATAATTGCTACCCAGCCAGTTCGATGGAACTTTCGAGAAATTGGAAAAGAACGGTGGAAAATGTGGTACGAATGAAAGAAATAATTAGATCTAAACGTTTACTTCCTCGTCCCTAAAAGTCCAACAAGGTTTCCGAGCCTCTCTGCTCCGTCTGCAGCGTTGTTAGTGTCGAGTAGTCCAGCGTGACCCAATTCAGTGCTCATGGTTAGTCAGTCGCCGCTTAACTCCGTTAATTCCCTTCGCCACTTGCTGTTATCGAATTAGCCGATTAACGGGCTACGAGAAAGTGTCGCGACCTTACCATCTATAGCGAGGTGGAACCAGGTCCCGTTGTTCCTCGAGTTCGGTGTCCTGTTCGGGAAGATCACCCGGCACTCGTACCATCCCTGATCGCTCTCGCGGATGTTCGTTAAATTGATGCTGCCTTGGCCGTAGCCACGGTTAGCGGCGTCTTCTAAAAGGTGCACGCGACCCTCGTAGCCGAGACCCACCGACGGATATCCGTTGTACCATGAAAAGATCGTTCGGGCCTGGAACCGATTCACCGATATTAAATACCATTCGTGGTTCGACGGCGACGCGTCATCTAACAGCTTCAACCCTCTTCGCTGGCACAACTGTTCATTGCCACGGTGAATCATTTCTCTCCCTATGTCTAGCAGTCGAGACACGGTTCGCGCGAAATTTCCACTGCCTCTGACATCCGATTACTCTCGCGAGGCCAGCCGGAGATAATAGGTTCCATCTAACGTCGCAAGTCCGAGTTCCTTGCGGCAGAGAATAAGGTATACTTGTGATTTGCAGAAGAGATTGAACGCGAGACGAACGATTCTACGGCGAAAAGGACAAAAGGCTGGAGGAGCCTAGGGAGAGCTCGTGGCTCAAAACGAGGCTGGCGAAAAGGCCGCTAATCGTCCCTAATCGTCTGACAATGCGTTAGCAGTGACCCACTGGTTGGACCCCTCGTGTCGCGGACTCGCCGTGACTAAATATAACGCAGCCTTGCGTCCCGTACTCCAATTACCACTGTTCCACAGACAGAGAGGGACCGTGCACCTGTTTTGCATACGCATCAGGGACCAATCAGGTTAAGTTCCACTTGATTTTATGCGGTAGCCATGTGCAACGGTCGATCTGTTTCCGGACAGTTTGCGCTGCGAATGCAACATCCGCGAAAGAACGACGCCTCCTCGCCGCGGGACAGGAAATCAACGTGATGCAAGTCGGAACAGAATTGCTATTGCCAGATATTGCGCGACGCTTCGAAATCGAGATCGGGACACGCGCTCTTCCCACGCGGATCGAAATAGATACACTCCCGGAGGAAATCGAATCGCCTGCCCTGCCTTGAGTGGGCACTTTTCTACGCGGTTGAACGTGCCCGCGAATTCTTTTCGAGCAACACCGGCAACCTCGAACGGGGACTGAAACAAATGAATCATCCGGTGTTTTCCGAAAGCTTTTCCTTGAGATAGACGATCGATATCTTGGTGGGTACCAAGGTCGACGCCTAGTGACACCCCGACATCGATACATTTCGACGAGTCGAGCGTCTTGCCTTCCTCCGTCTAACCGCAAACCGCGAGAGTGTGCGGTAATATTATTCTTCGTGGTTGCGTAACGTCGCAGAGGAGCTCAAGTGCGCAAAAATGCCTCTTTGTAACAATGAAACGCTGAATGTTGCTACTTGAATAGGAACGTCCCCAACACTTACGTCACGATTCCATTGGAGGATGTACGGGATCGGAGTCTCGTGCGGAAAGTCCAAATCGCAATTAAACACCGCGTACTCTCCCACTCCTGCGTTCAGATAATTCGGCTCCTTCTCCTCCTCTAGCATCAAGCTGTCGCCGAACGCTGGAAAAGAAACAGGGCAATTAGAGGCGAAGGAATCGGCGCGAACCTCGCGTGGCAACTAGCAATGTAGGTTCAACTCAATTTTAGTTGAATTGGTTAATTTTCTGGTGTATTACGCGTGACCGTCAAGCGGAGTTCCAGCAAAATCCACGTTAAAGTTCAATATCAAAGCAGAGTGTTGCGAAGAAGAGTGGACGGACGACGATTAAGCTCACCTTGGTAGCAGAGGAAGACAGCCAGCAACAGATGGATCCTCGTCGCGCTGCACATTTTCTCCAGGTCAAGTTATCCGAGATCGCCGGGTCGCGATTTATTTTCACCGATTCTGTGTCTCGAAGAGAGGGCGTGAACGCGATGTCAGAAGCAACTCACACCTCGCGACCGACGACGACGACGACGGCGAACGGAACACGGGAGCAAAACACATCTGTCATCACCCACACTCATCAAGCATCGGGCCACCACCTGCGACGATTAAATGGCACGCGGCACTTCTCGCGATCTGAATCTCTGCTGATCGATCAGCGCTAGCACATCCTCTGCCTCTCCTCTGCCCCAACGACTCTCTCTCCGTTGCTCCTTCGGTTTCCACAGAGATTCACGCTAGACCCTCTGTTGCTAGACGTTCATCGTTCTCGATCGACGACAGATCGATCCACGGCTACCGTGTTATTCCTCGGACGCGTTTCACCGACGACGATCCAGCCAGGTGGGAAGGAACCGTCTTTTATCGAGAGCTACGCGCAATTCGGGTAAACAGCGAGAGATTCGACGCAGCTGGTCCACCGTGCGGTCCGCTCACCGAGTGGTCCGGTGGTTGCGGTGATAACCAAGTATGTAATCGCTCCGCCTCGCTCAATCCGAGCGGATACGACGCCGAACAGCAGCGGTAACGAGCTGAGCAAAGCGGGAAGGGGTAACGATACCAGCCGGAGAAGGGAGATCCGCGGGGTACCAGACGATTCTACGTTCGCGGTTCTCGATCAACACGCTTCTCTAACGCCGTTCCTGTGCCCCGACACACCCACCGGGGACCTAGATCGGGGGGCCTAAAAGCTGCGTGCCGTCGATGGCTATTACGGCTTATCGTCGTAAGAAGCCCAAGTGGAGATTAAAGGTTCGTCAAACTTTCGAGCGTCTCGAGAGAGGCTGCTACGCAGCGTCCGAATTGGACCGAAATCCTCGCGGATAGGTGTAGCCCAGGCTGCGTTCTCCGCGATTCCCTTTATTTATCCGCCTACGTCGCGTAATTGCAGCTCGCGGCGCTCTTATAACGAAGACGTCGGCTTCCGGTATTTACCATTGTGTCACGTTCGTCAAGTCCCTGGCGCTGTTTTTCACCTGAGGAACTCTACGGAACTCTTTCGAGCAATTAGAGTCGGGAGGATTAAAGGGCGGCTCGCTCGTTCCCGCCAAAAGATAAAGCTAGCTGATTCCAATTTCTACTAAAACTCAATCGCACCCTTCACAGATTCGATCTCCAACTGAGACGAGAAACGAACGTCGCAGGAAATCAGGGAACGAGCATGTTCCTCCCTATTAAGGTCCTAATCGAACGTCGATCGTTCGTCGACGACGGCGACGACGAAACTGCACACCGGCAGAGCCGCGCGCCATTTGCGTGGGTGACCTCAGATTACGTCACATCCGTCCCTTGCCGCATTAGCAGACTGCCCACAGCCTTGTCACGCTGTTGAGATAATGGATCCATTCGCATGGATCACGATCCAGGATTGGACGTGCCCTGGACACTGGAAATAAATGCGTGCATAATGATACCGACCGTATTATTTCATCGACGAGCCATAGAAGGGAACAACTTGTTCCTGGTCCACCTGCGACGCGACCAATCAATCCACGGAAATCGAAAATGGGCCTTTGCGCGTCGATCGCCTCTTACTCACTTACTTTCTTCTCTCGTGCCCGCAATCTCGCAATCTCGCGTAGGTACATACATACGTCCAATCAGACGGAAGATGTTCAGCTGAAGCGTCGCGAAGGAATGTTATCGCTCTAGTTTTTCGCTGGCAGTGACGCTCCGTGTCGAGGGAAATCATGGAAATTGCGGTAATTCCCGGTAATCAGTGCCGTAGACGCGGTTGCGCAAATGTCTCTCTTCTTGGCCTCTCCGCGAATTACCGACACGGAGACCGAGATTCCGCGTTTCTTCCCTCGACCTCACGAAAATGCCTATGTACCGTGGTATCCACGGACGAACGATTGGACGATGGCCTGGTTACCACCAACTGGCAATGATCTTATTGCCTTGGCCAGCGATCTGCTTCTATTCGCTCCCTTGGAAATCGCCGATTCGAGAAAATTCGTTGTTCGGAACAAAAGAGGAGCATTTCCCTCGCATCGATCTCGCGTGAAACTTGCAAAACGCGTCTCGAGCTTCCGGCATAGAAAATACCACGGGAGGCAGATTTCTAAAATAACGTTTGTATTTATTAAATTTCAACGTTATAAACTATCATATATGCGTACATACGTACAGATATGTACACATATATATTATAAATGATACTAACGTAATATATTATACACTATCGGCGATAAGTATAGTTTATTTTGTTTCTCGTTTAAAAAGCAACGTTGTTAATCGGCACGAGTGCATCTTAATATTGCGTACAATTTCATTTTCACGCGTGTATGCACGAGTCCTGGGATCTCGTCGAGTCGCTGCCGCACTTCTATAGATAAGAGGGATTTGGAGTGAAAACGTAGAGATATACGTAAATATCCATACCACAACACAGACTCTCTTAGATTTTTCCTTTCAAATGTCGCTTTATTTTTCACTTTTATTTGATAATAAATTGTCTACAATTTGTCCTAGGTTAGTACGTCTTGGAGTTCTCGTGGTTCAGGGTTGGAGGATTGTTTTTCGGGGGTGGAGGGTGGGAGGTTCGCGAGAAAGCATAGGTGAACGAACGAAACGGTGAAAAATGGAGGTGTGAATAGCGAGCGCTCGCGAAGGTGTGTGACGTAGTAAAGGAAAAAACGCGTCTCTCTCGTTCGTTTCTCTTTTCTTCTTTTTCGTTTTTGTTGCTCGGTTAGGTGTGGCGCGTGCAGCATGACAAAGAAAAAGAAAACGAACAATATTACATGTACGCACGCATAGAAGCGAAGAGTAGCGAGGACAGATGTTACAGAAGAACGTTTTACGAGATAAGGAGATTATATTCGGTGCACGCGCGCGAATGCATGTCCGCCGATTGATTATCATTGTTTAACGGAGCCGAAGTTGCTGAAACATGATAAACGAAACGAACGTCGGAAAGAAAAACTTTTTCTTTCTTTTTGTTAACTGGACGTTGCTTTGGATAATTGTCGGTGTAACCGCGGTTCACGGATGTACTCGATTTCAACGTTCGAAATAGTCGTTACTGTATACATGTACCTGGAACTGCGACGATCGCTTCTATTTTCATCTTGGAGAAGAAAAAAGAACGTCGATCTCTCGTTTCCACTCTCTATTCATCTTTCCCGATCGAATTGTGCCGGCTATCGAAACAAGTTTTACATTCGAAAGAACGCGGTATGTACCGTGATGGAAGTGAGAAGATCGCAGTACCGGTGAGAAATAGTACCCGAGAGCCATTGGTACGCGAATAACAGGAGATCTCTCTCTCTGACAACAAGTGTTATTTCTTTGTTCCAGGCGAAATTTGCCGAAAGATTTTCGCGAGATCGCGTTACCGCGACTTGAAACACCCGGACCAGAGAAACGGTACGTAGCACGGAATGTGAAATAGGCGATCGTTCGTAACGTAAAACGGCGACAAACCGCTCGATCGATACCGTCCACCGACGCCGCGATCGTTTAACGCGTGATCGCGAATAAGTCTCTCTCTCTTTCTCCGTTAGCCGCAGCCGCGCGCGACGGATTCGCGGGAACGTTCTGCTTTTATACCGAGGGATGAGAAATTTCACTTTTCGCGACTTCTGAAAAATATGCTATGCCAGAAGATGGCTTTCAGGTACGTAAAGAGCGAATACCTAAATTAATTTCTTCCACATCCGGCGGTAAGTTCATACTCGCTCGAACTCTAAATAAATAACGCGACGAAGGTTGTATGTATAATCACGAACGCAAAAAGAAAGCCGTGACGATGGCTCGAGGTAGACAGAGACGAAGAAGAAACTGGAAAGTGTGTGTCGGTGTTTTGAGTAAACGGTAGAAAAAGTAATAACGTTAGGTAGAAATAGAACGTAGAGGAGATGTCAGAGATATAGAAGTGAAGACAGAAGAAGATAGGAGGCTTTTTCTTTTTTCTTTTCTTTTCATTTTTTTTTTCTTTTTTCTCTTTTTGTCAGGAACGAAAGGAACAGACGCAAAAACAAAGTTATCGATAATGAAATGCCGATGACGAACGTTACACGAACGAATTCACGATTCAACCATATTATTATTCACTTAACACGTGATCGCGCGAAACCATTAATCCGTTTCTCACGTTCTATAATTATCGGATCCTTCGTCTCGATCTCTGTATACACATCTCTGTGACTGTTTTACACGACTTTCGAGGCAATACGTGCCGCGCGATTACGCGTCGAAATTTTCACTCCTGGGCATCGAACGATTTCTCTCGTGGATGCCCGAAAATTTTCTCCTTTCTCTCCCCTCTCTTTCTCGATCCTCTTTCGCGATCGTCCATACTATTACGCGTCTTCTTGAGATCGTTGTATCTAACTATGATATATCTACACGTTACTTATATGCCTATATCGATTGGTTGGTTTTTTTTCTCCTCCTTCGTTCTTCTCTCTCTCTCTCTCTCTCTCTCGTTTGTTCCTTTTCATTTTCGGGCCAAGGACAGGACGAAGAAAGATCGGTGAAAACGTCGATTCACCGAGAAGGCGATCGATCGACGTTCCCGATTTTTCTTTCAATCTCTCTCTTCCGTCAGACGTCGTCCTTTGTTTCTCCACTCTCCACGCGGTACCGCGCGCGCTTTTCCTCGTCCGCGCAGCTCGAGAGAACGCTTCGCGTCGCCGAAGAAACGTGCGGTATGATTCGAATCGATCGTGGCCGTTCGACGTACAAAAAGATTGCTCGATCGATTTTTCTCACTTTCGTTTCTTTCTTACATCTGGCGACAGCGTATTCGAGCTTGATTTTTTTCTCTCTCGTTCGAGTGTAATAATTGCAAGGGACAAGTTGGTCGTTTACTACGACGGCACTGCGTGGATCGTGCACACTGGGCTTGATCGAGGCGCGCCTTTAATATTCGACGAATTCCTTTCTCTCTCTCTCTCTCTTTCTTTATGGTACAACAGCACAACTATCGATCACGCGTGCCCCTCGCGTATCTCCTTCGCTCCACTAATTCCCGGGTAAATAGTACATAATTCAACGGATTCATCGTCGCCGCGTTCGTCGTTCTCGTTGATTAATACGCTACACGCTACGTCGTTTGCGGTGTACAATATCAATTAATTATCAAATTATTAATTCAATCATTAGAATTACTTTAGAATATTGGTACTCTTTCGCGTCACCTCTCTTTCTCTCACACTCTCTCACACTCTCCACCTCGCTCCCTCTTTCACACTTTCTCGCGCTCTTGCTTTCGTATCCCGCGAAATAGTCGCACGATTTGATCGTTTTACGCGTTTCTCTATACTTCTCTCTCTCTATTCCAGCCATCGTTCAGTGTCGTCGCGTCAGTTCCTCTCGCAATTACCTGCCCTCCGTCTCTCTCTCATTCGCTCGGTCATTCTGCAGCACGCAAACGCACGCACACATACACGCACGCACGATTTACAACAGTCATACCGCGCCGCACGCATTCAGATACATCTTAAACGAAAATTATACAGAGCGTCCTGCCTCGACAGCGTCCGCGTCGCTTTTTGCACTTGACTCTCGCTTTGCTTCATACGGCGTCTCGTCGATATAAGTGTTTTGTACTATAAAAAAAAGTAAAATGCTGAGACGTCGAGGGGGAAATCGCGCGGCGCCGGGCGGCCCGAGAGTATTCGATTCTCTGCAATCGCGCAGCTGCTGCTCTCTCCGTGTGCGAGCACGTTCAAACGGAAGATACAACGCGTGTGTCGAGAAAATGATAAGAAACACGTGAAAAGGTGGAACAACAGAAGAGGAAGCGGCTGACCGATTAGAATCGAAGGTATACACGTATTGATTTCATCCTGGAAACTTTTTCTTCTTTTTCTTTTTTTTACACATTAGCCATCGTTTTCTCTCTTTTTTTCTTCTTCTCTTTTCCCTCTTTCGTTTCTTTAGGTCGCGTTCATTTTCAACACTCGATCCAAGTTTAGCCCGTATAACTTTATTCTCTCTCTCGCATTACTCGAACACTCTGTGGGCCGTTTCACGAGCTTCGACCTCGACTCGAGATGATTTGATACGAATGGGCCTCGAAGAGCGCCTCTCTTTTTCGTCCTCGTGTAACAATATGCGCGTGTGTCTTCTCTCTCATTCGTGCAACCCTTTCGCTCTCTCTTCCTCTCTCATCCGTTTCTGTTCATGCGTATGCGTGTGTCACCTGTGTCTGTCTGTGTGTAGCAAGTGTCGATACGAGTGTTTTCTTTTTATCTTCTTTCACGCGTGCGTACGTAAATTGCTATTCTGTCCGCGATGCACGGATCTCCGCATGGCATCGATCGATCGGCGATGCTTCCCCACGCGAGTGCACCACTTTCTCTCCCGTTCTCCCTCCTCTCGTAAATAGAATTCGTTCGTAGATCGCGAAGGAGCGCGCCTCTCGCCGCGCGAAACCGCCTTTCCGTCGGAACGAACGTACAGAGGGGAGGAATATAATCGTAGTGTACTAACGGTAAGAGTAATCATGACAATAATCGTAATAGTAACAATAATAATCAATCGTCGTCCCGAGCTGATCGTTCGCCTGGCAGTTCGTGGGAGGAAAAGCGTTTCGCGTGGTGAAAAGTTCGCTTTTTCGTGTCGAGTAAAAGTAGGACCTCGATCGGTGCGTGTTCGTTTGCTTGTGTCACTGTCTCTGCGTGTGTGTGCTCGTGAGGATAAAGAAATACGATGGCGAGCGAGCGGTTTTACTTCGCGATATATTCGCGTGGGGGTGGCGGTGGTGGCGTGTACGCAAAAGCCTCGTTTGGCCGTTCGACCGCGCGTAGATTCAAAGAACTTTTGTATTTTTTTTTTCTTTTTTTTTTCTTACTTATCTCTCGGTTTTTACGTTGCTTAAGAAAAATTATTGTGCCGATAATATGTTGGGTCGCTAGCGAAACCCTAAACAGGCAGTGCAGTACGAGTGAGTCCTTAAGCAATCTCCAGGCAAGCTTCGGCCTAATATCACGTTTTCTCGAGTCCATTGCTCATCGATATAATTAACATTTTTTTTTTTACTTTGTTTATTCTTAGTTTCTCGTGTGTGTGTGCGGATGTGTAGATTTTATTCTTCGATTACCTTACTCGCGTGTGTGTGTCTCTCTCTCTCTCTCTCTGTGTACGTGTGTGTGAGTCTTCTCTTATCCTCTTTTTTTTTTTAATTATTTTTCTTGCATCGCTTTCATTTTTTTCTTCATTTTTTTTCTTTTTCTCTTTAATTACTTACTTACAAGTGTACGGTTAAGATTAATCTTACGTGTCGTTTTCTTTTCTCGCGTGTGTGTGTGTGTGTGTGTGTGTGTGTGTCGTTTTCTTTAAAAGGTATACGGAGCACGGTACAGTTTCTTTGGGAGTATCATGCCGTCAACTTTCTCTTACAAGTTCCACGTCGATCCTTTCCACCTAATCCGCCCACAGTCGGGAATATTTAGCAATCGATCGCCTATCTTCCTCCGAATGGGAAGAAGATAGCAGGTTTTTCACCGTGGGAATATTTCTCGAGAGAAACTTCCCCGATTCCACGCCGTTCCTTCTCTCTCTCTCTCTCGTTTCTACTCGATAAAGTATTTTCAGTTATACGCTAAAGAGTCGCGGTCCTCCGAATTGGACGTAGGCGTCGGTTGGTACACGCGGGATACGACCGATAACGATCGTCGAACTCGAACCGTCTTCTTATCGTCTGTCGCTGGATCCTCTGGAACCCGTCGATCTGGCCTTCTCGCTCTCCTCGAATCGGCAACGAACAGACTCCGACGATACGCTTCCTCTTAACGTATAGTTCTACTACGTTAGTCGTTCGCGTTGGCGAAATTTATGTATCCTGAGCTGACGCATGGAGCTTTTATTATTATTATTATTAGTTTGTTTTAATAGAGATGGTTGCCCAGCAGATAGAATTGACTTGAAGTTGCCTACACTGGAATATTCGCGTACGATGATCCTCGTTGTGCTTTAAACAGTTGGTCTCCGATGATAATCACGGCAACGTCCGCTTTCGTCACAGCCGGGATTTGCTCGGCTCTCTTCTACTTCTTTCCCCTTTCTCTCTCTTCTAATCCCATAGGGGGGGGTTCTCTGTCGCCGTATTTGGTCCATTCTCAAAAGTGCTCCAGCGTAAATCGTGGAAAGAAGCAGCGAACCGTAGCGGATATCCGATGATCGAACTATATACGGAATGAATCCAACGATGATCTTAGTACTAGTGAACAGTGCCGTCAACACGCGCTCTCGAGATGCGCGCTCTGCCTCCTCCTCGCCTGCCGTTGTCTGAACTGATGAAACTCGGCCTTCATAGCTTGCACCCTGGCTTCGATGTTGTCCCTGGTGTACCTCGGCGTCTGATGATGAACCGTGTGCACTTGATGAACGTGTGGCACGTGAATTGCGTGAATCTGATGCACAGGCGGCCTCTCCTCCCTGGTGGGCGTAGAAGCTGAGGTTGGTGTCGGCGTACACGAGACAGGATCGAACTCGTAATGCCCGTCCACGCTGCCAGCGTCAACCGCGTTCTGTATATGCGTGTGCCCTACTTTTGCCTGATCCTGAAGCTCCAGCCACCTGCCGACCAGAGGTGGCGGGGGCGGCCTGTAAGGCGGTGGTCTCCACTCGGCCACTGTACTACCGCTCCTCGAGCTCTGATTCTGCTGAGAGGTGTTCTTGCTGCCGAAACCAGAACTGCTAGACCTACTCTCCGGCGACGTCTCTAGGTCCGGCGAAGCAGCCAGCTCCGGGGCGGACCTCGCGTGCCTCGCGTGTCTAGGCGGCAGCCTAGCCCTCGGCCTACCTGCGGGCTGAGGCGGCGAGGACGTGGCCAACGGTTGAACAGGTACGAACCTCCTAGACTCGGCGTGGATCGCCTTCAACGAGGGCAGCTCCTGGCTGTACCGCTGATGCACGCTGCGAAGCTGTAGATAATCCGGCGGTGTGGGAAAGGAACGTTCTCCGGACGATTGTTGCCTGACCGAGCTCAGATCGCTGAAGTACAAAGGCGTCCAAGGTACTTGCGGCCCACTCGGCGAACTCGCGAGAAACCTCGGCGATGAGATCGTGCAAATGGCTGGTGCTATCCTGGCCAACGAGTTCACTGTCCCGTGCTGATGGATAGACGGCAGCCCTCCTATCGAGACGCCGCTACCGTCCGAACGAAGGCTCAGCTGACTGGTACCGACCAACGGTCGACGCCAGGAGGACTTGAGCCGCTGTTTCGGGAGGAATCCACCGTCGTCGCTGCTCGACGCGTCCAGGATGCTGTTGTTCGCCGAGCTGAGCACGGAGTCTGCCACCACGAAGCGGCCGTCGGCCGCGCGCGAAATCTTACCCAGCGGTCGGCCGCGGCACGAGTCCGGGGTATCCGGGCTCAGGATCTCCCGCAGGAGATTTAGACCTGGTACTCGGCTTTTTCTAGGTCTACAGGTAGGACAGACAGAGCGTTAGAGAAATCGCAATGGTGATCCTTGGCGAGGGCGGCACGATCAACCTGGTTGGAGGACGTCCTTTCGCGGAACTTCCTTCTCCACGCTACCGGATTAAATTACCTCCAGAGAATCATTCTCTCTTCGTTAACGAGTCGAAGCTGTTACAAGCTGTTCAACTTTCAAATTACCTTCTCTGGACAGTTTTAATTCGGTTCCGTGGACGTAGCGAACAACCCAGAGGCAACGTAACGTCGAATTTCATTTGCTTCAGCGAATAGCGTGAAAAAGAATTGCTCGTTGGTCTCCTTCGACGACGTTGATCGGTCGCCGTACACAGCGGGAACGTGCAACAACGACGTAAAAAACACGCAACGTTAAAAACACGAACAAAAAAAAAAGTAGGAACACAAGGAGCTAGGTAAACAAATGAACGTAACAGGTTAAACGTACGAGATAATCATTAAGAATTAATTACGTGTACGTATAATAACGAATAATGTGGATGCAGGCAGGGAAGGCATGCGCATGCGCATTCCGGTGCACGAGTGGTCGGGCGTGACGGTGGATCGTGGGTGGGTGGGCGTTGCCAGTGAGTGGATCTTTCTTTTCTTTTTTTTTTATCTTTCTTTCATCTTTTTTCCTTTTGAAACAAATTTTTTTTTCTTTTTTCTTCTTTTTTTCTTTGCCCAATTGTTATATTTTTTTTTTTTTTGCTTTTTTTTTTCTTAGTGATAGCAATCGTGGATTTAGGTGCTCCGAAACTCGTCACCTTTTCTCCTCCTTCGGGTCCGGCAGCAAGGAAAGATGGGGGAGAGAGAATGTTGTAACACAACGATTACATTCACAAAAAACAATATCGTGGCGATAATGATAAGAAATATAACGCTAAATAACCGAACGTTACTTCTAGGCGGTGGTGTTTAGGGAGCAAATAGATAACGCGTGTTCCCATGGGATGGTCGCGTTCACTTTTCTTTTTTTTCTTTTTTTTTTTTTCACCTTCGTCTCGAGCGTTCTCGAACGGAATGGACTTAAAGAAGACGGAAAAAATAAAACGTCGCAATCGATCGAAGATACGTATAGATATGGGCGACGACGAACAATGGGCCCGATTCGGTAAAAGAAGAGATATAACCGAAAGAAAGTAGGAGGTATGGTTGTTACACGGATAATCGAGTACAAAGAGAAAAACGGAACGTTGCGCAAAGTATACGAATGTTAATCGGATCGACGGTGAAAGGAGGGCAGGGGAGTTTTAAGCATAATCAGACAAAGAAGGTCGGGTCGATGTTTCGTGGGAGCGGGGAGATTGAGCAAAGTTCTCGCACAAATGACGATTCTCTCGTGTGTGTGTGTGTTGAAAAGAAGAAAAAAAAAAAAATAAAAGAAGGAAGGAACGATCAACAATGAAATATACAATGAATAAAAATCGTGTCTGGATGCAGTTTGAGAGGGTAGAGCCGCAGTGAGAGCGGCTTACCTATGTTTCTTTGCTTATGTCCGAGTGTTCGAGTGTGAACGCGTCTTTTTACGGCTCGTCTAATATCGATAGACTGGAAACAGCAAAAAGAATACAAGAAGTTTCGGTTAAAAAATTTCGATCGATGGAAAAGCACCCTCTTGTGATTACTATCGCAGGCGGTTCGATTGCATTTTTCTTTCTTTCGTTTCTTTTTTTCTTTTTCTGTTTTCTTCTGCCCGTCATGCTCGGTGAAGCGTGACATGCTACGTGAGTGAAAAAGTTGAAAAAGCAAACGGGCAAACAAACCCCATTAAATGGGATACCCGTTTCCTCCGACAGTTTCGTGTGATCGAGATCGATAGTGTGAAGAAAAAGAGAGAGAGAGAGAGAGAGGGTTAAAGGTGAGAATAAACAACGCGGACCGATACTTGCAAGTGATTAATTGCAATTATCGTCGATGGATATGTATCTAACGATCGGAACAAGGAACAGCGTCTGCAAGGATCGATCCGTGATACTCTTAAAAAAATGAAGCAAGCTACCGATCGAACCTTCAACAAGAGAAGTATCTCAGTTCGGTGCATCTACTGATAGAAAAACGTTGCGCGGGATCCATGGTTACTTGAATATACGAGCAAAGAAATCGAAGCGATCTCGATGGTTTCCATCTCGATTGTTGCAGCAACCGTTCAATTCGACCAACGTGGTAAAAGAGAAACCATCGACTCGCTTCGTGTCTTACTAATCGTCTATCGATTGAGCGAGTGGCACAACGAGAGACGGCAAAGAGACTGCAAACTCGTGAACGTGAACGAGAGATGGTGAGTTGAGTGAGCAAAGTGGACGACAGAGAGGAGTGAATGAAAAGAGTGAGAAAAGGGGGTTTGAAACAGAGAAGGAGATAGCGATAGTATGCGTAGAAGAACTGTTACGTTACTGGCAAGATAGAAGAGAAGGAAACCAAAAAAGGTGAACGAACAAGTTTCAGCTATGAGATATGTTACGGTGATTGTTGGTCGAGGCGAGATCGAGAATGAGCAAATACAACGGTTCACATGTTAAGGTGCAATACGAGAGAGATCGACAGACAGAGAGAATTTCGATCCGGAATGACACGAGCTAGCCTCGGTTCGCCAACCTCGAATCATTCATCGGCAAAAGAAGCAACGCGTCCGAAATTTGTCAACAATACGTTGCGTTCAAGCGGCGATCGTTCTTTTTTCTTTTCAATCTTTCAGCTACTGTATGTTAAAAAAAAAAAAAACACACACACAATCTACCGTCTTGCCTCGTCTCTTATCTATGTACTCCCTAAGTCCGCCGAACGAAGGTATTTAGGGTACTGACTGGATGTTACTAGTGTGACTCCTAGCTGTATTGCCTGTATTGCTGATCTCATCTACAGTCATGACAATCATCCTAAGTAGTAGATGGTAGTAGTGGTAGATTAGTAGGTCCTAGCAGGTAACATTGCAGAGCTGTAGTCTCGCATAAGTGGGTAGTAGTAAGTAGGTGGTGGTAGCAGTAGTAGTAGTAGTAGTAATAGTAGTAGCAGTGGTAGTAGTAATAGTAGTAGTAGTAGTAGTAGTAGTAGTAGTAGCGGTGGTAGCAGTACAGTAGGTAGGTTGTAGTAATAGTAATAGGTAGTACTGGTAACGGACAAGTCCCAGCGGTAAGTGGCGTTTTGCTCGCTCGCTCGATCAACGACAAACCACCGATTGTATATCGATCGGATCGGTAAGATCGAGACCGATCAACGGATTTTCTCTCGGTTCTCTTTCCTTGGCAATTAAGGTGTTACTTTTTTTCAGGCACACACAAACACATACATGTATACCGTCGGCGAGTTCTTAATTTTTCGTGGTCTCGGGAGCAATCGTTGTCTCGGGTACGTAGTAGTAGTGATGGTAGTAGCAGTAATAGTTGTAGTAGTAGTAGTAGTAGCAGTATTAGTAGTAGTAGTAGCAGTAGTAGTAGTAGTAGTAGTAGTAGTAGTAGTAGCAGTGGTAGTACTTGATTTATTTTCAGTGTGGCTAGCGGAGGTTAGGCTTACTGTTCCGCCTCTCTATGATAAACACGCTCTCGTAATCTCGATTATCGAGGTGGAGTGCGTGATGGTCACGATCACGGTTCGGGGGGGCCTGCTCGTGGACCGGCTCCGAGGTGGCAGTGGCGGGGGTGGTTACTTGCGTAGGAAGTGGTGGTTGATGAAGAGGTTGTGGTGGTGGTGGTGGTAGTTGCGGATTCAACGGGCTGCAACGGGTCAGCGTCGAGACTGACTCGCCGCACGCGTTTAGATTTGTCGACCTACAGAAAACACAGAGAGAGAGGAGGACAAGAGATGCCCACGTTTTTTTCCTTTTTTCATTTTATAGCTCTTCTTCCTTTTCTCGTTATTCTTTTTCTTTTTCTTTTAGCATTTCGTTGTTCGCTTTTCTAGCCGCGTTCTTCCACGTCATATTTTTTCTCTCGTTCTATCGCGATTTGCCGTTCGTGAGAGAAACGGCGGGGGACAGAGAGAAAGAGGGAGAGAAAGACGGATAATTACGAAAGGTTCTCGTTGGAGGTGTCTTTGTGCCAAACTTACGTTCGATTCGTTCCACTTCCCCCCTCCCCCCCCCTCTTCTTCTTCTTCGTCTACGATTTTTATGTTTTTCTCAAAGACCGCTCCTCCGACCTCTTTCTCTCCGCAAGTCTCTCGATCCCCGGCAAAAAAAAATAGTTTCTATATAGCTCGCGTTGGCTCTCTTCTGATCCTTGCTCTGATCGCGATCCTCTAACGTCGATCGTCGAACTTCGATCAGCTCCGTATTCGTAGCCCGCGTACACTCCTTCGACACGGTCCGACAATTTACGCCGGCGGCCTGAGAACCGGCCCCGTCTCAATACGCGCGACAATCGATATCAGAGAAATCACACGCTGCACGGCTACGAATCCAGAGCTGGGAGCGATAATCTTGGCAGTGGCTGAACCGTCCAGCCCGTTCTGGATATACGTGTAGGTATAAAACGTGCATTATCGGCTCACTTCGTGAAAACCAACCGGGGGAGAGAAAAAACGCGAAAAAATGCTCTTCGTTCGTGTTCGACGACACTCCGTCGTGCGGCGGAGGGCTTATCACGAAGGGGACGAACGGGCCGAGGAACGAGAATTCTTACGTCGAAAGCGCGCGGAGCGCGGGGAGGAAGAAGGATCACCGCGGTTGTTTTCGCGATACTTAATCGGTCGATTTAATATTATCCACGTAAATATCGTGCAAGCGTTAATTACGTTAATACAAACATTAGTATTTCCATCGGCGGATTTACTATGAAACGCATCGGTGCGTGGCAACTCTGCGTGATATTCTCACGGTGGATGGATCAACGATTAAAACCCCTTGTGATAGGCGAACGGAAAGACACCCTCGCGATAAGCCCACGAGGAGAGAACTCGAAAGGGGATAATTCGACGTGTCGACGATGTACGTAAAATAACGCA